TATATATATATATATATATATATATATATATAATTAAATAAATTAAATAATACAATTAAATAAATGTTTTTTTAAAGAACTGGGGTTTTCAAACAGTGTGGTCTCCAGTGTTGGGGAAAGTTACTTTTAAAAGTAATGCGTTACAATATTGCTTTACTCCATGAAAAAGTAACTAATTGCATTACTTAGTTACTTTTTATGCAAATTAAGGCATTATGTTACTTTTGCGTTACTTTTTGTCATCTGGGCTGGGCTTGCTTATTTATTTTTATTTTTTAAAATAAAAACCCAAAAGTTACTTAAAACTAAAATAAAAAGTAAATTAAAGCTAAACAGAAATATATATAAAAAAAATATATATTAAAATGACAAAAGCACATCACTATCGGTTATCTGTGTTATATTAACTAAAACTATTACAAACCATTTTCAGCAATTGAAATAAAGCTTGAATACAAAATATAAATATTAGATAAAAGACTTAAACTAAAATAAAAAGTAAATTAATGCTAAATAGAAAGATTTTTTAAAAATGAATAAAAATGACAAAATTGGTTATCAGTGTTATTATTAAAAATGAAACAATTAAAAATAATTTTCAGTAATTGAAATAAAGCTGAAATAAAATGAAAAATAAAATGTAAATATTAGATGAAAAATTTAAAAACTAAAACGTACTTCAAAAATTTTAAAAATTTGAAATTTAAAAAATTTGAAATGTTGCTTTGGCAGTTAACTGAAATAATTTGAAATTGAATGACTGAAACAAAAATTAAACAATAAAAATAAAAGAAATGAGAAATAAAAAATAAGATCTAAAAATAAATTAAAGCTAAATAGAAATATAAAAAAACTAATGAAAATGACAAAAGCACAACAAAATGTAAAATGTAAAATTTAAAAATCAAAGCAAATTCAAAATATTAATAAATAAATAAATAATATAGTAGTTTATGAATAATACTACAATAACACTGGTTAACGTCATCTCTAGTCTCTGGTTGTTTGGGAAGGCAAATAAAACCAGGGAAAAATACACATGAAATAACTTAGTGCACCTTTCATTATGAGATATAAATTGTATTGTATGTGTTCTGTCTATTGAAATGTGCATTTTTCATTTATAGGTTTTGCATGAAACGTTCCCCAAACACACGTTCTTAATAAACGGCCTGATTCAGGGAGTGAAGGTACGTGATGTGATGTGGATGCAGTGGACTGGTTAGTTCGTCTGTGTTGGTTTTATTGTCACAGTGATGTTTCTGCTTTGGTTCGTCAGGGTCTGCTGTCGTTTATGAGCGCTCCGTTAATTGGCGCTCTGTCAGACGTGTGGGGCAGACAATATAATATTTTACATAACAATTATTAACATTATACAGTTAACAATTATGATTGTGTAATATTTAGTAAAATATTTGTAATAATTATTTCTTTATACTTACAAAACTGTTATAAAATATTATATATATATATATATATATATATAGATAGCTAGAAATGGGTAATGTTATAATTATGATTGTACATGTAATATAATGTTTCACACACATATACATAACAAATTATTTTTATACTAAAAAATGTTATAAAATTACATATGTATTAAGTGAATGAATAATATTAATAATTTTAATGTAATTATTTAGTGTTAAGAATTATGATGATATAATATTTAATACAATATTTGTAACCTTTTCTTTCTTAATACTTATAAAATTACAGAAATAACATATGTGTGTGTATGTATGGGTGTAATTTAATAAATATATGATGTTAGTAATTTAAATATTTAATATCATATTTTTTAGTTATACTCAACTTTGATTGTCCGACCAGTAGTGATGTGGTTGAAATGTTTTATCCAATAATCACAAATCAACTGAAAAATGTATATAAACTCAGTGTAAAATGTTTAGGGAGCTCTGTTCTTAAATCAACATGTTTTCTCATGTTTCACTTGTTTTTAGGTGGTACTTCGCCATGATATCGGTGTCTGGCGCTTTTTCCGTCACTTTCTCCGTAATCTTCGCATACATCGCAGACGTTACGGATGTGCGCGAGAGGAGTACGGCGTATGGACTCGTAAGCGGCTCTTTTATTAAATATAAAATGCATTTTGGACTGATCTCAGAATCTCAGTGAGGCTGTTTTAGGATATTTCTGTTTCCAAGGTTCTTCTGCATGACCTGGATTCAGTGGCCTTGACCCAGCTGGATAGAAGAGTTGTATTTCTATCTGCTTCCAGGTTTCTGCCACGTTCGCAGCGAGTCTGGTCACCAGCCCGGCCATCGGCGCGTACCTGTCAGCCAGCTACGGAGATAATCTGGTGGTGCTGCTGGCGACTCTCATCGCTCTGGCCGACATCTGCTTCATTCTGCTGGCTGTCCCAGAGTCACTGCCCAACAAGATGAGGCTCAACACATGGGGAGTGCCCATCTCCTGGGAGCAGGCCGACCCGTTCGCTGTAAGGATTTAAAGGAGGATTTTACAATATATTTTTTATTATTATGATTAGTGGTCGACCGATATTGGTTTTTTGACAGCCGATGCCGATATATTGGAAAGCAGGGTGGCCGATATAATTGTATTTATTTTAATTAATATTTAAGAAATTTAAAATCATTTGAAAATGGATTAAAAAATAAATTTGTAGAATAACCATACTTATACTTTAGATGACATAGTATTTTTCACAAATAAATAAATATTAAATATAAATATAATTAAAAAGGAAGTAAACACTGTAACCAACAGGGTACTCAGTATTCTGGGAAGTTTGTGTGCATTGAGAATCATATTTTTTCAAATAAAGCAAGGGTGTAACACATTTTGCATACAGCACACAGAGAAAATGACATGAATATGACTGGGCAAATGCATAAAGCGCAGCATAAATTGTAGTTGTTAAATAAAAATGTCATTCATATCAATTCATGCATCACCTAATTTCATGGTAACATATAAGCCTGGCCTACAGAAAAGGACATTTATGTTTAATCTATCTAATAGTGTGTTGGTCATACTATACAATGATTTATAGCTCATAAAGAGCTTTAAAAAATAATTGCATATTAAATCGCAATCGCAATATTGGTAAAAAAAATCGCAATTAGATTATTTTCCAAAATCGTTCAGCCCTACGGCCGATGCCGATATTTAAAAAATGCCAAATATCGGCCGATATATCGGTCGACCACTAATTATGATATGCACACTACCAGTCAAAAGTTTTTGCAAAGTAAGATTTTTAATGTTTTTTTTTAAAGGATTTTAAAATTATTTGATCCAAAATACAGCAAAAGCAGTTATATTGTGAAATATTTTTACTATTTAAAATAACTGCTTTCTATTTTAATATATTTTAAAGGGGTCATATGATGCTGCTAAAAAGAACATTATTTTGTGTATTTGGTATAATGAAATGTGTTTATGCGGTTTAAAGTTCAAAAAACACATTATTTTCCACATACTGTACATTATTGTTTCTCCTCTATGCCCCGCCTTT